GGGTCTGTGTTGTAGCAAATACCTTCCACTTCTTAATAATAGACTTCACTATGTTTCTAGGGATTGATAAAGCCTTTGGAATTTTTTTTGTATCCATCTCCTGACTTGTGCCTGTCCACAACTTTATCCCAGAGATCTTTTGACAGTGCCTTGCCTCCCGTAGTTGATTGTTTGCTTCAGTTGCACTACCAAGGACTGAAATGTTCCAGGAAAGCTCTTTTCATGCTGAGCTAATCAAAATGACCACAGCTGATCACAGTTGAAAGTCAAATGGCTTTGTGTGCCATTGAGAAGGTGATTAGCTAAACCTGATTGAGTTTACTAGTCAGGCCCCGTCCACACGGAGACACGCTTAGCTGTATACGCATACATTTTGTATCGTATAGGCGTTTCGTCCACACAGATCCGGCGTTTTGGGAGAGTGAAACCGATATTTTTTTGAAACCGGGTCCCAGAGTTGTATTCGTGTGGACAGCGAATCCGTATATTTTCTGAAACGATGACGTCATCAGCCCACGTCTCGCCCCTCGTCAGACACCGCTACTTCACGTAACAGCAACAAAAGCATGAACAAACACTGAACGATTGTCTTTTTATTAACTAACATTAACACAGATTAATAAATGTATTGTTTCATGTTCGTTTGTATACCGCGTGCGAGGTTTATGCGCATAGTCTGAAGTGTTCTTCTCCGTTTTTAGTGTATCTCTGTGGCAGAATTACAGCTCCACATACTGGTCTGGCATGTATACTACGTCGGTTTCGTGTGAACGCACATATTTCTTGAGACGAGGGGGGAAAAAAAAAGATCGGATAGGGAAAGCTCTGGCTTCGTGTGGACGTAGCCTCAGTTTTAGGAGGGGGTGATCCTTTTTCCAACTCTGTGATTCTGTTACATATACGAATAATTATTATTTTAATGGCTTTTTTATGCCTTATTAATAGGTAAATGGGGGGTTACACAGCCATCATATACATTTCCAAAGTTGAAGATCCTTGATCTAGATTAAAATCCAAGTATCCAAGTAGTAGAAAATAAGCGGTTGATGAGATGAACGAGGTAAAAACCACCATGAATGATTTCTTTAGTGTGAATACAGCCAGCCATATGATTTGCTTGTGAGAATCGGCGGAGCGGGGCGAACGCTAGCCCTGGGGCACGAGTGATGAGTTTTTCAGATTCAAGGAGACGCTTTGATAACATTCTCTTCATGACCATCACAAAACAATGGCTGTTTTTGTTCCTGCTGAATGGAAAGCATTCGGCCTGCATTATTCACAGCAGATCCTGGTCCCGTGCTCTCGCCGAAACGCCGTGCTTTCGTATATTGCACTATGAAATTTTTATCACTTGAGGAGGAGAGATGAGAGACGTTTAAATTTTTCATTGTCTGCTTAAACTATATTATTGTTGCGTGACAACAGAGAGGGAAAAAGCAGTCTAGATTTACAGCTGTGAAAGACGAGCGTCTGCAAGCTCACGTGACATCCCTGTCGCAGAAACACTTCCTGTGTGTACAGTGTGTCCAGTAAAACAAACACAAAATAAAGAGTTTCCAATTAACTAAATGGCCACAATGAGTGTGTTTATATGTACAAAAATAACTCTATTATGAGTCTCAAAAATGCAAGAAAAAAAAGACTGGAATTTTGAAATTTTCATGAAATTGTCATATGTTTTATTCAATAACCATACTTGTTATTTTTGACATGAACTGTTGTCAGTTTATTAAGCTGAATCCGTGCATGTAAACACTCAATGTTATCTGAATTAAATGTGAAAATGAAAAAATGAAGCAAAAAAGAGAGAAGTAAAAAAAACAAGCAAACGGGAACATATTCTCCTCCTTTAAAGGCAGCCCTTCCCTGTCTAACTGGAGGCATGTTACTAATGCCTGTTTAACTCCTGTTCTAGGTCACCATGAGATAAACACACTTCATTCAGCTTGGCCAAACCCCAACCATTAAGCAGCAGTGGTGGCCCATTCATGAGCTGCCCTCCCTGGCTGAGGCCCTCTGATTAATTAGCACACGGGGCAGTGGCTTCCAAAAGAGCACAGACAGAAGAAGAGCTCCGGGGCGGGGACAGCGGGAGGGAGCCGGTTGAGCGGGGGAGACGTACCTCAGACTGCCGGCCAAGAAAGCCCTACAGAGGGAACACATTCCAGTAAAGTGTCTCCCTGCTGTCCAACTCTAGACTGCATTATTATTTTATTTAATATCCTGTATTAAACCATCATCTACAGCCAGCAGGATGAGTTCGACTGTAATGTTTAAACTATGAAAATAACTGTCAGTGCACAATTTTGGCGTGTTTAAGACACAACGTCACTGTCTTTGCCTGGGAGCTATAGTGAATGACACTAATGACACTTAACGTGGTGATATTTATGACAACTATTGACTGTAATATGAAAATAATTATTTGTTTATCAGTATCGGACACATTTTTTAAATAGCAGTTGTGTTTAAGAAACAATGTCACCATTTCTGCCTGGGAGCAACAGCGAAGGTTAAAACCAATGATACTTGAACGTGATATTTATGAAATCTTTTGACAAGTTCAAATTTGTGCATTTATAAATTTAACAAGGACGAACTAGATTGGTTTAATCTAGTTCCTCCTCCTTTAATTTATAATAATAAATAAATCTCACATGGGACAAACAATTCACCCCAGGGTTATTATAAAATAAAAATAAAGTAAAAATAAATCAAATAAATATTCATTTAAAAAGTCAATTTAAAAGATCTCATACCTGAAGTAAAATAAAGAAAACTAAATAAAACTGAAGTTAACTAAACTGTTTTATATTTAATATATAAATAATTAAACTTTTTTGTACGTGAGCACCTGATGGCACACAAGGTTATAGCTTAATGACATTGTTTTTAATTGTATATAAACTATACAAAAAACAAACAGAAATATGTCCATAGAATAAAAACTAAACTATTGCTGAAACAAAAAGCTGAAATGTAAAAAAAAAAAAAAAAAATTAAAATATTAAAAAAATAATAACTACTTTGATCACAAAGCTAAACATAATAATGAAAAATATAAATAATAATAATGCAAAACAATAACCTTGGTTCGCCACTGCTCTCAGAAAAAACAAGCCCCCTACTGGAGATACAGCGTGACGAACCCAACCAAGATAGCGAATAAGAGACTGAGTGCTTTCTAATGTAAAGCCTGGCAGCTTCTCCCTCATGACAGGCCTTATGTTCTCCCTCGTCTCGCTACCTTTCCCCAAACGTCGGTCCTCTGTTCCCACACATCTTCATCTTCCCGAAATAACCCCCATTTACTCACATAACAGCTTCCAGAACATTTTCGCATCGGTACAGAGCAGTCCCAAAAGACGCACTTAACCGCCCAAACTCTCTCTCTCTCACCTCCTCTATCCTCCTCCTGATCTACCGCTCTTCCTCAGAGGCTGACGGCAGGCTCAAAGCTCCTGGGGACTGTCAGACTATTTCATTATTCAAACAATGCTGGAAAGTGGAGCCAATGATCACTTTAGTGGTGCTGATTTGTCATGGTGCCTAGACGAGGGAGGGAGACTTCACAGCACACAGGAAAATTCAACAACTTTATCTTGCTCTGCTTCTCGCAGGGAATTACCATTCAAAACAACCATTAGAACAGAGCAAGAAGTTGGGTGTGTAGCATAGTGGTTAACATACATGCTCTGACACACTGAGCCTTAAAGTTGGAATCATAATTTAGCTGTTAGCACACATTTCAACAGTTAGAGCTGCATAAAGTTTAAGTGATAGACAAGCACCAAGGTGGACTCCGCGATGGTTAGTGATAGGCCAAAGTGCAGTAAACTGTAAAACTATGTGCGTTACAAACCAGTCTGTTTATAATTACGGCAATAAAATAATATGGTAACAAATACCAGTTTGCAATATCAGGCAGCATAACAAAACATACTGGGATAGTATGGGCTCTGTAGGATCCATCGGTAGTATCCGTCATGGCCCAGGAAATGAAGGACGCATTTCAAGGCCGCATTTGAAGGAAACTTGGAAATGGGACAGCCCTTGGCGTGCCACTGTGATGTATTCTTCGAGTCTTCGAATGCAGCCTTTGAAGGATGCAGCCTATGAATTGGGACACAGGCACTGTGTCTTCAAACTTGCAGAAAATGCTAATTCAATTTTGGCTCATCACTCCCTCATTCCAATCCTTTCCAGGCCTACCTCTACAATACCTATCAATATAGTAGCAAAAAAGCCAGAACATATAGAAAACAGATGGAATACGAGGCTATAAACTTCAACAGTCTTCATGTAAGTCAAACAGAAACAAAGCTAATAAGCAAAATGACTATACTCTATCATTGCTTTGTAACTCAAAAGGGGGCTGACAGGTAAAGAACAGCATAAGAACAAAGAGAATGAGCAGAACTGATATGTGAACAGCAGTAATTTTCAAGCAGTGCTTCACAATGCGGTAATCTGAGAAAACAGAGTCCTCCTGGGAGACGTCTACTACTATGACATCACGTATGGCCATCAACAAGTTAAATCACTTGCATTACACCCAAACAAGTAGAGACAGATAAGTGCCGTCGAGCAGGGCAACACGGCATATGGCTGAAGATATCTTAGCTCTGGGGGTTCTTAAATGTCCCAAGTTGTTTTTGTAACTAGGCCAAAACTAAATCTGACCCTGCAGATTTACATAGAAATGCAGCATTCGATGTTCTTCGTATCCCTCAGTTCTTGATTGTTTGATTATTAAATGTTTTTACAACTATTTTTTGACAGAACAAAAGAGAAAAGACAAATAAATTATATGGGGGCAGAGAGAGTTTCTTGCATGAGCACCAAGAGGCAACCACTGGTCCAAAGCTCCAACACACAAAACGGTTCTTCAATGTATCTCAAGGGTCTGTTTAAGTGTACAGGGGGCTCTTGTACAGTAAACCTGAGGTGGGTTTTCCCCCAGGCTTTTCAGAGCAAAAAGAGGAAGAGATGTCACTTACTGAATTCGAGGGCATTGGTACATTGGTTTCAATGTAAGTCTCCGTCTTGGGCTCCACAGCAAGCTCCGCCTCCAAGATCTTCTCCACAGGCATGTCTTCGTTCACACTGCTGGTCGACTCCACCTCGTTCTCGTTGCGGTCCTTGGCTCGCTGGCGCTCCTCCTGGACGGCTGTATGTAACAACACTAGTCACGGTCACTACAGTTGGTCAATCAAGAAGTCAACACAAATAAACACCGATATCAAGCTGATGCTAACAAACTACACCACAGGTCTTCATACTTTCTGATCCTGAAAAATAATGGACTCTCAAACATGATTATCCCCCTGCAAATATAATGTATTTTCAAGTATAAAAACCTATTATAAAAACCCGAGAGAAAGCAGGAAATTATGGAAAAATAAACAATTGGCTTTAGGGCTGCAACAACTAATCGATAAAATAGATAATAATCAATCATGAAAAAAATCGACAATGAATGTCATTATCGATTAGTCGCGTCTGCCCGCTGCGCACTGAAAACTTTCGCCAGTCACGTCAAACTACAGCAGTGAATAATGCATTTCTATGGATGAAATGCATTTAAAAAATAGCAGATGAAACAGAGTGAGCAGCTACGGGAAAGATATGTGATCCAAGCTGTCTGAAACATGAGAATGCTTTATTTTAAGTTTCAAGCTAATGGATTAGCATAATGTTTAAAAGGTTAGTTCACCCAAAAAGCTGTCATTAATTACTCACCCTTGTGTTGTTTGAAACCCGTAAGACCTTCGTTCATCTTCGGAACACAATTTAAGATATTTTTGATGAAATCTGAGGGCTCTCTGACCCTCACATAGACAGCAAGGTAACTACCACGTTTAAGGTCATGATACTGTCGTGAACACGCGTCCAAAGTGACGCAGTAGAGACGTAAATGTGGAATAAAGCCATTATTTTAGTTTTCTTTGCGCAAAAAATAATTCTCGTAGCTTCTTAACTTTATGGTTGAACCACTGATGTCACACGGACTACTTTGTCGATCATCTTGGTACTTTTCTGGACCTTGGATGTGGTAGTTATCTTGCTGTCTATGGGAGGGTCAGAGAGCCCTCAGATTTAATCAAAAATATCTTAAATTGTGTTCCGAAGATGAACGAAGGTCTTACGGGTTTGGAACAACACGAGGGTGAGTAATTAATGACAGAATTTTCATTTTTGGGTGAACTAGCCCTTTAACAGATCAGACATTTGATCAGCTCAGAGAAACAGGAAGTGGTTAGTGTTGAATAGTCACTCAATCTCACTGTGGCCAGAGCTGTATTAACCACAATCTAAGCACTTGTGGTTAGAGTGCGTATGTGCGGAGCACAGTTCATCCAAAAGTCTTCAAACCCAGTTCCTATTCACAGCACATTAAAACACACAAACACTAAACGTTCTCCTTTCCCTAACTCTTCACTATTTTCCACAACAGTGAATCACAGTGGTATCGCGGTGGTGGAGGGGCTCCGAAACGGGGGGATTCTGCTTTACGGAAAGTGCTGTCTGGAGGTCAGCCCAAGGGTAAAATACTCTGCCAGGAGTCAGAGAAAGGTGAGAGGGGCTGAAATCACGTTAGCTTTATTTCCCCTGGAGAGAAGGAGAGCATAAATTCATTTAATCCTGTTTTTCTGCAGATTCGCTCAGCTCTTTTTGGAACAAGCGTGGCCCAGCTCTCCTGTGCCTCGGGGTACAGTGCGAGCTTATGGGATACAGAAACAGGCGAACGCAAGCAAATGATCATATCCTTGAAAGAAGCCGTGATGATATAAATAAGAGAGACGAAAGGTTGCACTAAGGTCAGACAGTGGGTGTGAGAACGAGACGTCATGTACGTATGATCGCAGTACTACAGGGGGAGGATTTACTCTCTCACATGAAACAAGAGCTATGCAATCTATAGCCACAATAAATCATTTATAAGGCCCAACAAGTCTGACTGCTTGCAAAGACACTGACCTTAGTTCAGCTTAGTGTTGTTTTAAACATCTTTATAAATGTTTAAGCTTGGGGACATATCATGAATGAACTGTATTGTATATGAAAAGAATTTGAAACTGATCATAAATTGATACATATATTAAGGAAACTGATGGAAAATAAATTTAAACAAAAAACTATACAAGCACAAATATACAAGCACCCATATACAGTGGGTACGGAAAGTATTCAGACCCCCTTAAATTTTTCACTCTTTGTTATATTGCAGCCATTTGCTAAAATCATTTAAGTTAATTTTTTTTAAATGCACGACATGGAGGCAAAGAACCAGCCGATGCGAAGTGCATTTAAAATCCTTTAATGCACGGCAAGCCGTTGATTATCCCGCTTATTCCATGGTCATTTGCCAAGTTATAGACAAGTTAAAACTAGTATTACTCTTTGCAGCGCAATATTTGACCGAATGGGTAAAAAAATTCAGTTACGTCAAAAAGTCAGTTACGGCTCATTAGCTCTAGCATTCTGCCTGCTTCAAATCAGACACAGAGATGAAATAGTGCAGTTAGATCACATTTATTTGAATGAATTATAGCACTTATTTGAATTAATTATCGATCGTTTGATCGAGAGAGAGAAAGATGACAGTTGTGTTTACCTGCGTCTGTGCGTCTCTCTCTCTACAAACATTGAAGTTGTGAGTTTAGTTACTTAAACAGAGATTTTACCTCCTCGTTGCTGAGGAATATAATGCAGTGATCCAGTATCTAAGTGGTTTTATTAATAAAAGTCGCGGGGCAGCATTGATAAGTTTATGTTGGCCTACTCCTGAACGTTTCTGTGTGCGCAGTGGGATCTCCAATCTCTCTCTTTCTGTGTGTGAGTGATGTGTGTGCATTTGTGTGTGTCAATTAAAGCAGCGCATTAATATAGAACAGTGATTAAACTGACTTGGAACTACCTGTGCATTAAACGGTTTTAATGCATACCTGCCAGCCAATCAGAATCAAGAATTCCAACAGACCATGGAATAAAAAGAATTTGAAGCAGATCCTTATAATTATTATTATTTATATAATTACTGTACTTTTTTTTTTTTGTGCCTTTGTCATCCATGACATATCTGGCAACAAATAATTATTATATATATTTTTTTTATTAAATTATTACTAAAGTAATAGTTAATAGTCAATGTGTCTGAATGTGGAATTGTACATAGCAGAGGTTTTAGTGGTTTTGGACACACTAAGCTAAAAAGACAAACAAAAAGCACACGTAAACAACAATCATGTGCGTATGTATGTGAGCAGGCATACAATGCAAGCTACAAGAGTTCATCGGTTCAATCTTAAAAACAGAAAACACGTCTCTGCTCTAATATCTCATAAATCTAAAATTATTCTGTTTTGACTGAGGGGCAAAATATAGTCTCTCAGATCAATATTCCAACTGCTGTGTGCTAAAATTTTCTATTAGCATGCTTAAGCACTTTCACGTCTCCTTTTTTTGGGGGACAAGCGCACAAAAAGTGCTAATGCCCCCTTTTCTTCAGCATGATAACCCACCCCTCACCTCTTCCTCTCTTTCATCTCGCTCTGCCTCAGGTGATGATTTGGGAGAAAATATGGTCTTCTATATTTAGCGACAAAAAGCATATCTGAAAAAAAAAAAACCTTCCCACCTTGCATCGACGAACCATTTCCTGTTTTCTCTCAGTATCTCCCGAGTACACTACCTGGAATCTTGAGTACAGCCATCATGTGTAGAATGAACTCCCTGACCAATGTCTTACCGTGAGCAGATTGGCAGACTGAACGTCTAGTGAATGCTAATTAAGCACTGACCAGCAGTCTGACTATTTAAGGGCTGATTGAGAGTCACACAGAGGTGAGATTGTTTCTAATAGCGAATGCACAAAACATCTCACCCCATGGTGGAAAGCTCAGGCCAGTCAGTGCAAAGAACAATGGACTCCTTCAACCAAGTCCTTATGTACCTCAGCTAACACAAATGGATGCTAAATGGATGCTAAATTTACGTAACATTGGAAGTCACTGATTTTAATGAGAGCTGGTGGAGTGATTAGTGCTATAAAATTTCAGAAGGAAAAAGAAAAATCTTCTATCCTCAACTTTATGTGCTGTACCTTCTCTCTTCATTCCCATGGCCAAACACTTCTGATAGCGGCAGTACTGGCAGCGGTTGCGCTGGCGCTTGTCGATAATACAGTCCTTGCTGTCTCGACAAGTGTAAGTCAGGTCCTTACGCACAGTCCTCTTGAAGAAACCCTTGCACCCCTCGCAGCTGTACACACCGTAGTGTTTACCTGTTGGAAAAAAATGCAAACATAGAAGCCTAAGGAGTTATATTCAGGTCTACAATGGTAATAATTCATGGATCAGTGCTTGTGGCATTTGAATCTACAACCTTTCAGCTGAAATGTGTTAAAATACCTTCTTCTATCCCAGCTTAATATTGCAAGATCTTCTGAAGCAAATCTTCTTGTAGTGTAAACACTGTGTCTCTGTGCTGTTTACAAAATACTGCACTGTTTCCCTGCTGAAAAATAAACCTGTTTAAACCAGCCTAAGCTGGTTTTAGCTAATTTCCCAGTCTGACTGAACTTGTTTAGCTAGCCGACCAGTTAAAAGGTGCCCAAAATCCCTCTAAAACCACCCAAAAGAGCATCTTAACTGGACTAGAAAATCAGCTAAGACCAGAAAACCAGCGTAGACTGTTTTTAAGCTCTTATTTTTGTCCCAACCAGCCCTGCATTGTAACATTAGCACAACAGTTTGCATTTGGGGCTGGATTTTGTGTTTGCACATATACACTAGCCAAAGCTGGTCTTAGCAGGTTTACGATGGTTTAAGCCTGATTTAGCTTGCTAAAAAAGTGCCCAAAACCACTCAAATTATCATTTTGACCAGGCTAAAAGACCAGCTAAGACCAGAAAACCAGCATAGACTGATATTTGAGCTGTTTTTCATTCCAACCAGCCCTGCAGTGCAACACTGGCCTAATAGAGATATATATATCACAATGTGTTTTGGTACCTGAGGAGCGGTCGCCGCAGATGGCACAGATGTGTTTGGAGAGGGAAAGGGGGGTGCCCAAGGGCTGGACTGGCACCTTCATCACACCGTTGATGCCCAGGGGCGGCTTGATATCTTCTGAGCTGCTGACAGAGTTCATGGGCGAGTTCAGCTGCAAAACATAAGCAAACACACATCATTTAGACACGTCAACATATCGGCTCTAAGGGCCTGGGTTAAAGAAAGCTGAGTTCCAGAAGGCCCTAACTTTTCTGTAAATTTCTTCAGAATGGGGCCAGACAGGCCAGCATTGAGATTTCAGATTGATTTTGTGCCGTGAGACCGAGGTTCGCTCATTTGATTATGCACTCTCTCCTACTTCCTCTGAATGTGAGTACAAGAAACGGATGCTGAGTGTGTGTCCCTAGCCTCATTTTTTTCATATCCAGCAGCAGCAGTGCACATGTACTATGCTAGAATGACGGCAATAAAATATTTAGTTGGACAGTGGAATAAAGACGTGGTTCTGTTTCTCTCTCTCTCTCTCGCCAAGCTAAAATGTGTCTGGCTGCCCTCATCCAGACATTCTTTTGCTCTCAAGTGTAGTTTGAATGAGAAACATTAAAACTTACATTTCTGTGGAAATGACAGCTAAAACAAATCTAAATTCATCACAAATGTTTATTAATCAATGTGTTTGTGCACATTTTACTGTATCATTCCAAGGTGATGAAGCAACAATTGTCACAATAACAGGGCACATTATTAATTTCACTCTACACGCGTTCATATTCAATTACACACTTTAATTATATCAGCGACACAAGGGTTTTGAGCAAATGAAAGTTGCTGATGGGTAGACACTGTGCCTAAGGGTCCAACAGGCTGTTCTAAAAAAAAAAAAAAAAACCTAAAAAAAAAACCTTAACAGACGCCATCCTGCCTTTGGGGAGTGAGAAAGTCAGTGAAAAGTCTTGTGACAAGAAGCATGGTCACTGCATTGGCAACAGTGATGTTTGCATGCATTTTACTTTTTTTCCTCTTTTATTTATATTATAGTAGATGGTTTACCAGCAACAGATTTGTTGGAAGGCTCTTAAAAGCATGACACGGACTTCGTAAAGGCCTTGGGACTGGCGTTCTTGGCCAGGAGACAGAAACACTCATGTGAGAGCCTCCAAAGTCTTGTTCTCATGCTTTAGCCAGAACACAGTTAGCAGTCAAACAAGCGAGAGGGGCCTGATAAAGACCCCATTTAGACCAAAAGGAGCATCGTCACTTCCCACTTCACACCACGGCTATGTGTTGACGTGAGTGCAAGAGACATGCAGACTTGCTAGACTTCTGTGGAGTGCCATGTAGCCAGAGGACACTGGACACAGACAGACCACTGTAGCCCCACTGAACTGCCACCACAATGGAATTTCCATCACCTAAAAACATATATTGTGTTTAAGAGCTTTCTGCAATGGAAATTACTTTTTCAACGACTCTTAAATAACATGGAATTCTCCTTTGTCTTACTAATGCCAATTTCTCAGCCAGTAATTTGCTTATCTCAAATACACACAAATAAAAAATGTTTTTCCCAAATACACATGAAGTTTCAAATTTTATCTTAAGCTTTCTCCTAGGAAAAAGTATGATAATCTTTAAAGCAAATTTCATTCATTTTATTAGTTTATTAGTAAAGTTCTAATTTAGTTGATTACTGCCCAACTGAGGGGTTTGTGTCAAATTTTTACACACACACACAAAATACAGAAATAGTTTATGATTTCACTGATGATTTCATCTGATTCCAGAACGATTCTTGATCTACTCCCCCCTCCCCCCCCCTCTTATTAATTAATTAGTTTACCCGACTTGAGAATCTTAAAATCCTTACATTTACATATCCTTACATAAGTAATTAAGTACTTTTAAAAATAATTACAAATTGAAAAAAAATTATTAAAACAGTTGTATGTTAAGAATTTATAACTTAGAAATATAACTTCAAAACATACAAGCAAGTAGCAAATAATAAAGAGGAACATAGAAACATATTACAAACAACAAACAAAGAGTGCTTTCAGTATTTAAGAGTATCTGAACGTTTTCCATTCAAGAACTGAGAGTGATTTTTCTTCATCTTTACTGTTGTTTTTTACTATGACATCATATAGACAGCGGGAGATCTATTAAACTGCATTCATGCACGGATTTCTTTTGAAATATAAGTAGTAAAGTGGTTTGTCCTGTCCATTTAATCCCTTAAGACACAACTGGCTGTGTTTACATAAATTTTGCGTCATAAAACCATTTTGAGACCACTTACACGGAGTCGTGCATAGTCTTCACGAGCAGTCTTCACAAAGCGTGCTACAGCATTTGAAATTGAAAGCAAGCCTTCTGTTAGTGAGGTTCATATTTTAAATATATAAGTCCACTGCATTCCAAACCACATAAATGATGACTTCCTAGAGCATATGTAAGGAACTTCAAGTGTAACGTCAAACAAAGCGCGCGTCTCTCACAGTGAATCCTGTGCAATGAAGCCCGCGAATGTCTTTGTAATTCACTTCAACCTTTCCGAACTTTATGAAAGATTACTTTACGGAAGGTTCAAGTGGTGTATGTGTGTGAGGAATTGGAATAAGCTCAGAATCGATCCAGAATCGTTGGAGAGAGAACCGCGATGCATCGATTTTTTTCTCCCACCCCTAATTATTATTACTGGGCCTTTTTATACCTTTATTTAGACAGGATAGTTGAGAGCATACAGGAAAGCATTGGGTGAAGGAAGGGGAGCAGGACCAGCAAAGGAATTCGAGATGGGAATTAAACTTGGGTCGCGTGAGTGCATGTGCGCTGTATGTCGGCACACTAACCACGAGGTTATTGGCGTCGACAATAAAGTTAGTTTTAATGTGACCTTCATATAATTAAAAATTGGTTGGTAAGTTGGTATTTTAACACCATGCCAGTTTCCAAGTTGAAAAAGTATAAACTTTGACTGTTAAAAATTTATTCAAAAGTTTTTGCCGAGTAATATAATTTCCTAAGAGATCTTAAGCACAATTTAATAAGTAAGGGACAATGTACATCCAGTCGGTTGTTATAGTAGAATAACCCCCTACAGGGTGACCAGGGCCCCGAGGTGAAGCAGAAAGATTTTAAGTCTGTCTGTTTTAAAATCTTACCAGTTTGTTAGTTATCTTATAATCCATCCATCTGTTCCTTAGCAAGTGTGTAGTGCTGACTTCAGTTACCCGGATAAGCCTGTGTTATCAGCTTTTATCGTTTTTTATCGAGGAATAACATAACTTGGAATGTCGCGACTGACCAATCAGAATCAAGTATTCCACAGAGCAGTGTAATAATATACATTTAAAGGATACTGGACTCCGGCATTAACAGCATATCAGTGGATCTTCTTTTGATATTAAGAATTTGTGTGTGATTCTGGAGTGTCCTTTTCAGCATTGTGTAAATATGATTTGATCCCACTGATTACCGAAAATAAAGATGTGACTTTTACCCACATTAGGGTATTTCATACAGTTTGTGGTTCGTACACCGATCCCATTCATTTTGCCTTTTGTTGATGACGTAAGATACTATAGTAATTTTCATATCAAATCAAAATCTAATACGTTTTTCAGTCAATTTTAAAGTGTTCGGAGTTATCTACGTAGAAATAGAAGTGTCCAGATTTAAGAAAGACTTAACATAGTTAATCACCCTTATCCATGTACATGATTGCATCATCCTAAGAACATGTACGTGTGTTCACACATGCCTGCACACACCCCTTAAACTCATGCATGGACACACACAGTAATGCCACGGCCCATGTCATTACACAGATGACCACAACATGCCCTGAATAAAGAGACTGACTGCTGAAACAAACAGATCAACTGCTCAAAAATGACAATCCAAAGGAACAAAAACACTCAAAGCTTATGAATCTTTGTCAAGAACATGATTAACACTTCTGAAAACTGCTCCTCTTTCATTCAGTATGATGATTAATTCCATCCATCAAAAAACTAACAAGCAAAATGCTGCGGACAAAAGCCCCTGTACTTCCACTCTGCTTGATTTATGATGTCAGAAATGGTCATTGTCCTTGAAAAATGCTGAAGGCAGTCAAGGCTGCAGGGGCCGTAACAGTGCAGCATGTTCTGATGGAGAGAGGTGTTAATGATGAGTGAGCAAAGAGAAAGCATGGGCGGCAGTAAATTACACATGCCATACTTTATTCTGAGGCTGTCAGTTTATGAGAAATAAAAAGCCTTTTGTTATGAATTTCTGCCTGCATGTCTCCGATGAGAACCTTACACATGCTCATGTTACCCACATACAAATACTCATGGGGAGAATTCACTAAGAATGAATAGAGCCCGCTGATAGAGCCATTTATTTGTACCCGCTGTCTGCATTAAGGGCCCGATTCACTAAAGGAATTATGCAAATCAGGTAACGGTGCAAATGTGCCCATAAAATCTTTGCAAAAGTAAAGCTGCATGGCACGATTCCCCATTTGTAGGTTCAGGGTTTAGAACAAACAAATATACTAGTGTACTTTACTTGGACTATACAGTATCACGCCACATTTCAAGAAAAAAATAAGACAAATGTTTCTTAAAATAATTGAAATAATTAACATAAAACAAAACAAATAAAATAAGAAAGTAGACAGTAGAGCATGGAGTTAGCAATGTCAAAGTCATGGGTTCGATTCTCAGGGAATGCATGAACTGATAAAATGTTTATTAAAAATAACTAGTAAATAGTTAATATAGTAATTATTCATAACTAGTATATAAATAGAGTTTAGCATTTAGAGTTTTGCATAGAAAAAAAAGTGTGTGACTTTTACTGAATTTAATGACATTTAATGACCATGACAATGAACCAAAGGTTGTCAGTTAGATGCAGGTTTAAGTTGAAATACTGCATGCAAAAGTGGTGCAACTGTATGAATTCATCCATAATTTTCTCACACTTAACTCATGCACACATATGCACATGATGTGTTAGTTCACATGTAAAAGCAGCTGTTAAAATGAGCCTCTCTCTTCATTTCATACCTTTGTTTGTCTATTTTGCTGGACCTCTGTAGTATGTCTCATCAGATGCAGAGCTGCACTATCAGAGGACTCTATCAGAGTATGGCTATTT